TTAGTCACCTACAAACAGGGAAGCTGAGTCACACCTATGAGACCTGACCATGACTCTGAGTAGGCTCTGGGAATAATCTCAACACCAAGTAGGAGGCCCCAGATGTTCTCCATCCCCTTGGGCTGTGCTTTGCTTTCTAAACTTGGAGAAGGCACAGAGCAGACTTGCCCGAGGGAATAGCAGGCAGAGAGAATACCCTGTTTCCTCAGAGCACCAGGGGCCCCAAGGAGGCCTGGTGAGGGGAGGCCAAACCATTACAGGCTGGGAGAGGTCTCTGGACACATGAGTCCTTAGCTCGGTGACTCTGGGTAACAGTCTTCTGAAGTGAGAAGTCAGGCTGGGGCTGGGGATAAGAGGTGGGGATGAGAAAGAAATTTGAAAGCACGTTGGGGAAACCTGCTGACCATGTGTGTTGTCCCTCTTGTTCTCCTTGGTTTCCTATAGCAGAGGTGAAGGGAGAGTGTAAGGAGGCTGGGAGCTTGAACTGAAGTGCGGATTCTAAATAAATTTGCAGACATGGCACAGAAATGTCATCTGCATCTGGAGAGGTTGCAGTGGAGAGAAAACATTTGAATGTAGCAAACAGCCAAGTTCACAGTCTACACTTACCGGGCATGCCTTCCTCGTTGCCCGCCATCTGAGAATGGTGAGTTCCAAAGTGTCTGTGTCAAAATCACTGTGAGTGCTTTGATAAGAGATCAGTGAATCAGGAAAGGGTTATCCATGTGTTTTTGTCAAAATGAATCCAACCAAGTCGAGCGCTATCTGTGTGTGCACAAAGGAGCGGGTAGTCCCCATGACTAAAGCCTCTGGCTTTCACATGTTTGGTTAACCTAAGTGCAGAATAGGCAGCCTTCCAGAATTTGACCATGCCTGGTTATTTACTTTATCAAAATATTTACGCCCGTCTTGGAGTTTAAATTGGTAACTCTGGGGGCAGACCTGCTGCCCTCTGCTGGGCACTGTGCTTTTACGTGTTCACTGAGCCAACAATGCTGTGAGACAGGTTTTCCTATTAGCCCCACTTCACAGATGGAGAAACGGTCACAGAGAGGTTAAGTAACTTGCCCTAGACCGCTTACCTGACAAGGACAAGACCCCGTACCTAGAAAGTGGGCCTGAGCCCACACGTGCAGCCTGACCCCTGCCACAGGCGAGGCATTTTCTCTCCTCAGGGAAAAGCCAGGGAGCCTGCATCCCACTCTTGGTTCTAGCAATTCAAATATCATGATGATAAAGGTCCTTCCTCCCAGCAGGCCTCAATTTCCCTCTTCCTTAAAATGAGGAGGTCAGACTACATGATCTCCAAGAGTTTCTCTGGCGCAGATTCCCTACGAGTCTGTTTCAAAGTTGAAGCAATAAGACACCAAGGGGCACCTTCCAGGAGAGAAGGTTCCTGTCATTCCTGTCCAGTATCGGCCCCACCGGCCGTGAATTACACGGAGTGCTGTTCTCTAGACAGCCACGTGAGGGCCACTGCATTTCTTCCTTCCATCTGTTCAGAATCCAAAATGACCTTCCAGGCATTCTTTCATTCCAGAAATATTTATCAAGGGACTATTATGTTCCAGGCACCATGCCAGGCGGTGGGGTGGGGGGGTGGGGGGTGTAACAAAGAACCAGACATGGGCTTCATACTTGGGCAGCTTGCAGTCTAGAGGGGGAGACAGTGTTGTAAATACTCAGATTCCATTCCAGTCCATAGTGTGTGGGCAGGAGGGACACCAGGGTCTGAAAGAACATACTATTGGAGGCTGGAGGCTGGAGGGTGAGGACCTACGACCGGGGGGTAACAGACAGGGATAATGGGAGATTCAGGCAGGTGGAAGAGTAAGTCCATAAGGCAAGAAGAAGCAAAAACTGCCTTAAAACTGGAGCGTAAAATTCGAGAGGGCAGGGAGGGAGGCAGGAGATGAGCCACAGAGCCTGCAGAAGCCACCTCACCGGAAGCTCAGTAAGCCACAGGAAGGAATTGGCCCTCAGTCTGTGGGTAATGGGGAGGCTTATGCAGCAAGAAAAGTGCCTGTTATGGGTTGGGTCCCTCAAAAAAAGATACATTGGAGTCCTAATCTCCAATACCTCAGAATGTGACCTTATTTGGAGATAGGGTCTTTCCAGAGGTAATCAGGTTAAAATGAAGTCATTAGAATGGATCTTAATCCAACATGACTGATGTCCTCATGACAAGGGGAAGTTTGGACACAGAAACACACATGCATCAGGGAAGACAATGTGAAGAGACCAAGAGAGAAGACCAGCATCTACAAGCCAAGGAGAGAGGCACGGGACAGACCCCTCACAGCCCCCAGAAGGAACCAACCCTGCCAACTCCTCTAGACTTGAGAGAAAATACATTTCTATTGTTGTAAGCCACCTGGTGTGTGGTACTTTGTTATGGCAGCCTAGGACACCAACCCAGACTTTAATCTGACAAGTTAGGTGATCACGTTTTTATTGTTAAAGGAACGCTGTGGCTTCGGTGCAGAGAATGGATGGTAGAGGGGGTGTCCAGAGGGGCTACGGGAACCAAATACATCACTGGGACAATACTGCAATAATCTAGGCGGGAATGATGGCTTTCACCAGAGTGCCAGTGGGGAGATGAAAAGGTCTACAAGATTCAAGAGATGTTTAGGAGGTAAAAACAAGGATGTCCCTGGAGAACCAAAGTCCATGTTGATGGGCACTAGACAGAAGAAATGGGAAAATGACTCTGATCCTGGCAACACCAGCCCCCTGCATGCTTCTAGCCAAGCCCCCTCTGCTCTCAAAGCCAGAAGCCTGGCCCCCTGCCCCTGCGTTTGGTCCAGGCTTGCCTCCCCTTCCCGGCTGCCAGCTTCTTCTTTATCAGACATTCCCCAGTTACCCCCAGAATGTATATTGTGCTTGTGGCTTACAAACTGCTTCCACATACATGTTCCTCACGTTTCTCTGGAGAGCAGACTTTATTTCATCTTATGTATGAGGAAAGCGAAGCCCTAAGGAAGGGATTTTGCCAAAGACACATTGTGAGTAGTGGAGCCAGGATTCGAACCCACAGCTTCAGTCTCCACAGCCCAAGTGTTTTCCCGTGCCCTGCAACATCTCCATGAACACAGCCCCCAGTCAACATAGGGCTTGAGAGAGGTCCTATCTCTAGCAATTACAGCAAAGGAGTCCATACAACATTGATTTTGAAAGCTTGTCAGTTACTGGAATAAGGATGTTAAGGTAGAAGATTTCCACAGTGAAAAGTAACACTCCTGCACATTTGTTTCTGGCACAAACTTGTTGAAGCTTTACTAAAGTGTGAGGAGGTACTGTTTTGTGTTTAAGACCATCCTAGCTGGTACCCAGGCACTGAACCTTGTGGGCTGCGTGATCTTGAGAAAAGTATTCAGCATTTTTAACCTCAATTTTCTTTTTTCTTTTTTTCTTTAATTTAAATTCAATTAGCCAACATACAGTACATCATCAGTTTCTGATATAATGTTCAATGATTATCAGTTGTGTATAACACCCAGTGCTCATTACATCACGTGCCCTCCTTAATGCCCATCCCCTAGTTACCCCATCCCCCCCCAACTCCCTTTTTGCAACCCTCATTTTGTTTCCCAGAGTTAAATGCCTCTCATGGTTTGTCTCCTTCTCTGATTTCTTCCCATTCAGTTTTCCCTCCCTTCCCCTATGATCCTCTGCACTATTTCTTATATTCTACCTATGAATGGAGCCATATGATAATTGTCTTTCTCTGATTGACTTATTTCACTTAGCAAAATACCCTCCAGTTCCATCCACATCGATATAAATGGTAGGTTTTCATCCTTTCTGATGGCTGAGTAATATTCCACTGTATATATGAACCATATCTTCTTTATCCATTCATCTGTTGAAGGACATCTCCGTTCCTTCCACAGTTTGGCTATTGTGGACATTGCTGCTATGAACATTGGGGTGCACGTGGCCCTTCTTTTCACTACATCTGTATCTTTGGAGTAAATACCCAGTAGTGCAATTGCTGGGTCATAGGGTAGCTCTATTTTTAACTTCTTGAGGAACCTCCATACTGTTTTCCAGAGTGGCTGCACCAGCTTGCATTCCCATCAACAGTGTAAGAGGGTTCCCCTTTCTCCACATCCTCACCAACATTTGTTGTTTCCTGTCTTGTTAATTGTAGCCATTTTAACTGGTGTAAGGTGGTATCTCAATTTTCTTATCATTTAAAAGGGAATGCTGTTCAGAGCCAGATCAGAGTTGTTTGGAGTAATATACATTAAGTATTTAGCTCAGTGCCTGATACATAGTAAGGACTCGATATGTCTTAGGTATAACTGTTATTATCTACCTTAATTTCATACTCATTTCCAAATCCTGAAAGCACACAAAAATACTTATTTCTGAAAGTCTCACCAATTCAGGTGTAGGGTGGTCAAACAATGAAAAATCTAAAGGCTATGAGATTTTGCAAAGAAATACAGAACAATTGCTTTCAAGAGCATCCCAGAACACCTGACGGAGAAGAGGATTTGGGCAGGAAGGTGAGGAAGAAATAAAGCAAGTGGTAAAGAAGAAGTAGAGGTGGAGTGAGAAAGTATTTACTATTCCCATGTCATAGAGGAGAACACCATGAATCAAAGATACTAGGTAATCGGTCCAAGACCACACAGCCAGAAAATGAAAGAGTTGATTTCAAAATGTCTGCTCTTAGCAAAGACATCACACTAAGCTCTTTGCTTTCCAGGGCATCTCTCACTACACCTGTAGCATTTCATTGTGCTTATTTGTTTAAAAATTTCTTCCCCACTAGACTCTAACCGCCTTAAGAACAGGAATCAAGGGCGCCTGGGTGGCTCAGTTGTTAAGCATCTGCCTTCGGCTCAGGTCATGATCCCAGGGTCCTGGGATTGAGTCCTGCATCGGGCTCCCTGCTCTGCGGGAAGCCTGCTTCTCCCTCTCCCACGCCCCCTGCTTGTGTTCCTGCTCTCGCTATGTCTCTCTCTGTCAAATAAATAAATAAAATCTTTAAAAAAAAAAAAAAAAGAACAGAAATCAAGAATGACTCATCTTCCTAATCTCAGTGTTGGGTTCCCAATGAGCATTTAATTCAACAGTGTTGAATAATTGTGAAGGCACAAATCCCCGATGTCTAAGAGTGTTTGAATAAATAGGTTCATATATAATAGAGGTTTTTTGCCAGCTTTTAATGAAATGTTGGCTCTGAAAGAGTGACTATAAACACTGTGCGCCTAGTTGGCACTCATCTTACTTACCTGATTCACTTAGGTGTTCGTTTTTTTTGTTTATTTGCTTTGTTTGCAAGGATAGTAGAGAGATGAGCCTCAACCTGACATACCTGAATGAATATTTATGGGGACCTAGAGAAATATGCATCACTTAGGTCCACCTGGGATTATTTATGAAAGGAAATCCTCTGATATCCCTGCATTTAACACAGGTTAAACTTTTGTATTGTTCAACTTCTTGTGGACTGCGGAAGGAAAGACAGAATCATGGACGATTTATAGGAATCCTAGGAGAGATAGGAATAAATTGAAACTTGTTGAATTGAAAATTCTAGGATTTTCCATATTCATTGGCACATGCAGGATTATGGAGAGGGTCAACCAAACCAGCAGTGTCTCCGAGTTCATCCTCCTGGGACTGTCCTCCCAGCCAGAGGACCAGAAGCCACTCTTTGTCCTGTTCTTCATCATGTACACGGTCACACTGGTGGGAAACCTGCTCATCATCCTGGCCATCCGCTCTGACACTCAGCTCCAGACACCTATGTATTTTTTCCTCAGCATCTTATTCTCCATTGATGTTTGCTACACAACAACCATCGTTCCCAAGATGCTGGTGAGCTTCCTGTCAGAGAAGAAGTCCATCTCCTATGCTGAGTGTATGACCCAGATGTATTTCTTCTTGGCTTTCGCCAACACAGAAAGCTACCTCCTGGCGGCCATGGCCATTGACCGTTTTGTGTCCATCTGTGACCCCTTCCACTATGTCACCATCATGAGCCACCGCCACTGTGTCTTGCTGCTGGTCTTCTCCTGCTCCATCTCTGACCTCCATTCCCTCTTACTAGTTCTCCTGATAAATCGTCTCACCTTCTGTGACTCCAATGTTATCCCCCACTTCCTCTGTGACATCAACCCTCTGCTGAAATTGTCCTGTTCCTCCACACTCGTCGATGACGTTGTAATTAACACAGAAGGATTGATAACCCTGGTGACCCCCTTTATGTGCGTTATCATCTCTTACTTCTGGATCCTCATTGCTGTTCTTAAGATCCCCTCAGCTGCTGGGAAACATAAAGCTTTCTCTACCTGTGGCTCCCACCTCACCGTGGTGACCCTCTTTTATGGAAGTATTATTTACGTTTATTTCCGACCCCTGTCCAGCTACACCATCAAGGACAGGGTGGCAACAGTCATCTACAAGATTCTGTCCTCCATGCTGAACCCTTTTATCTACAGCCTGAGGAACAAAGACATGAAGCAGGGTGTGAGGAAGCTGATGGGCAGGAGGAGGTCCCAGGCAGCACCTTCGTGAGCACACTCAGGAGTGAGTCTTCTCCTTTGAACCCTCATTTCTGCTGATTCCTGGTAAACATATCAAGCCACTAGAGGTTAGCATACCTAAGCCAAGCGTTCATGGGAAATTGCGTAAGTGACCAGACTAGAATATTGTGCCCATTCTTATATATTCATAATATCTTATATTTATCTTATAGTGTAATAATATATATACACATACATATAAATGTGTGTGTGTGTGTGTGTGTATCCACCAATCAAAGCCACCCCATCAGGGCCCATTTCTTTACACTCATTTCTCATTCCCACTCCCATTTTCTTTTCCTATTCACTCCTTTCAAATGTAGCTGAAAACTTATTAATTTTTCTTGACCAAATTTCTCCCGGTTCAATAACTCTGAGTTCCCAATATCCTTATGTAATTTAAGAAACATCTTCAATTAGATGTGGTACATATATGAAATGGAATGTTACTCAGCCATCAAAAAGAATGAAATCTTGCCATTTGCACAATGTGGATGGAGCTAGAGAGTATTATGCTAAGCAAAATAAGTCAGAGAAGGACAAATACCATATGATTTCACTCATATGTGGAATTGAAGAAACAAAATGAACAAGCAAAGAGAAATATATAGAGAGAGGCAAACCAAGAAACAGACTCTTAACTATGGAGAACAAACTGACGGTTACCAGAGGGGTGGTGGGTGGGGGGGATGGGGGAAATAGGTGATAGGGATTAAGGAGGGCACTTGTGATGAGCACTAGGTGTCGTAGGGAAGTGTTGAATCACTACGTTGTACACCTGAAACTAATGTTACACTTGATTTTAACTGGAATTTAAATAAAAACTTTTAAAAAAGAAACATCTTCAATTTGGTATTCAATTTGCAGCAATTTCAGTGTCCCTGAAATTACTTAAAGTAGTTTTGTGTGTGTGTAGGTACATGCACATGTTGTCTTCCCTATAAGATTAGGACCTCCCCAACAGCAGAGACAGTTTTTGCACACCAGACAGAGAATAGATGATGTCTCCTCCATTTTGGGAATCTCTCTCAGCACAATATCCTAGGTCCTGAACACAGTGTAGAATCAAGAGTTGGCCCTAAGGAGCTGGTTGACTTAGCAACTTAGGTCCAGCAGTCCAGGTGACCTGGTCTAATTCTATGTGTCTTCCCTGGCATTCTTCCCTTTGTCTTCTGACAGCTTTTTGTCCATCCCCTCTTCCTGAGCATCTTTTTGGTATCATTCACCCTGGAAGTGTCTGTATTTTTGACATCATCACTAACCATCGGTCTATTTTCTAAGGTGAGAAGACCATTTCTCTGTAATGAGGTTTATTGTGAGTGGCTTTTGAAGATAGAACTAGACCCAATATTTGTAAGAATTGGGAAAGTAATGCCCGACACAGTATAGGGAAGAAATTCAAAAGTCAGAGTTATTGAAAAGTGACATCCACCCTCACTGGAGAAGGGTCTTGCAAAGACAGCTCATATATCAGACTGGAGTTGAGCTAGATGATATTCAAGGTCACTTCCAATTCAGAGAAATTATTTAATATTAAAGAGTTTCAGATTCCTCATTTTCAAAACTGACAACAGTAGTATTTTATAATAAGGTGTATGTCCAAGTAAGACTGACTCTAGAAAATGTCCTAGCTTTAGATATTTTGTTATAATTTTATTAGGCCTTAGGGCTTAAAAGAAATGTCACACTCTCAGTTATCTTGGGAAGATATTATTCCAGTGCCAACAAATGAACATTTGAATGGGTTAGAAAATTTGATATTATAAGTGACCATCTAATGAGAGACGATGGACTCTGAAAAACAAACTGAGGGTTCTAGAGGGGAGAGGGGTGGGGGGATGGGTTAGCCTGGTGATAGGTATTGAGGAGGGCACGTTCTGCATGGAGCACTGGGTGTTATGCACAAACAATGAATCATGGAACACTACATCTAAAACTAATGATGGAATGTATGGGGATTAACATAACAATAAAAAATTAAAAAAAAAAATAAGTGACCATCTAAGAGTAGAAAGGTTAAGCATCATTGCCTGAGTCAACACTTCTTTCCTAATCTCAATCTTTTCTTCCATGTAAAGAGAGTTTAGTTAATGTACCACCTCACTTTTTTTTTCACCCTATTTCTCTTTCTGCCCCAGGGAAGTTGAGTGTCTTATCTGACTGGTAAATGTGAAAGCTTATGTTTGGCATGTATCAAAGCAAAAATGGCACCAGGCAAAGTCAAACAGGGAAGGAAGACTTTATTCAAGGCTCTCATAGTAGGAGGAGAGAGCAGAACTCAGTCTGAAAGGAAGGGTGGCGGGTTTGTAAGCTCTGGGCTGAGGTAGAGGAAAAGTACTAGAGGACGTTAGGGGAGTCATACACCATCTGTGTTTGCTAACTGGCTTTATCCAAAGGGAAAATAAACTTCCCGTTTCTTGGTGACAGAAGGCAGTTTTGCAACTTGGCACGAGGCACCAAGACATTAGGAGATGGGGTACTATCTTCTTTCATGATTACAGTTCAGAGGGATGGCTCCAGGTCCTTGAGAGATAATCCTGGGTTGCGAAACTGGCAAGAAGCTTTTAAAAAGATTTATTACCTCATAGAGTCAGAGAAAGAATTTACAGCTGGGCGCCTGGGTGGCTCAGTTGGTTAAGCGACCGCCTTCGGCTCAGGTCATGATCCTGGAGTCCCTGGATCGAGTCCCGCATCTGGCTCCCTGCTCGGCAGGGAGTCTGCTTCTCCCTCTGACCCTCCCCCCTCTCATGTGCTCTCTCTCTCATTCTCTCTCTCAAATAAATAAATTTAAAAAAAATCTTAAAAAAAAAAAAAAGCATTAACCACAAGACAAAGATTGGTGAATTGGGCTGCATTAAAATTAAGATTTTCGGGCGCCTGGGTGGCTCAGTTGGTTGGGCGACTGCCTTTGGCTCAGGTCATGATCCTGGAGTCCCTGGATCGAGTCCCGCATCGGGCTTCCTGCTCGGCAGGGAGTCTGCTTCTCCCTCTGACCCTCCCCCCTCTCATGTGCTCTCTCTCATTCTCTCTCTCTCAAATAAATAAATAAATAAATAATCTTTAAAAAAAAAAAGCATTTACAGCTACAAATTTTCTATGAAAAGGAAGGTCAGGGCCTCAGAGTCAGGAAGAAGGCTACCATTGAGTCAAGCTGAGGACAATGGTGAGACCATCTTGGTCACCTGCTTGGCTCAGTCCTCACCTGCAGGGGGAAGAAATTCCGTGCTTCTCTGAGCCTGTGGATGAGACAACCTCATTTTCCCTCTCTTCCCTCCTGACCTTTGTCAGTATAAAGGTGGCCTCTGCCTGCCACCTCCTCATCCTATGTCTCAGGCCTCCTCAGAGAACCCCACAATCACATCCAGTTTCGGAGAGCTTCTTGCAGATTGTTCCTTGAGACAGAAACAGTTTCCCAAGCCTGTCTGTTTGGTGCTGGTCTCAGCCAATCAATAGCAATGCTATCAACTAGAAATATCTGTGACACTCACCTGGGCCCCAGTGAGCTTCCCATAGACATCCCCCTATTTCCAAACCAGTGTTATGACTGGACCAACGCTTGTGGTCCTTACTATGATTGCAAGACACCTTTCAGCATCAATCATCAGGAAACACTGAAAAAATAAAGGCTTATTACTTACAAGACCTGGAAATCACACAGCACGCCTGGGGCCCACAGCAAGGCAGCAGGCAGAGAGTGAAAGACAAAGAGAAACACAGGGCTGGGGTTCTGCTTTCACTGGGGCAGAGGGAGGGGGCCTAGGGCTTCAGTGGGCTCACTCTTGGTTGGTGAATTTAAAACATAAGAGCAGGAATTTACAGCAAGGGAAGAGAAAAGACAAGTGGCCCAAATGGCCCGTTTATCGAAATCAACCAAGACATCTAAAACGAAGGAGCCTCCGCCGGGGGAGGTGCCCTGTCTCTTTATCTGGTCCTGTGGCTGACAGTATGTTTATCTGATGTGGATGTTTCTTTGAAATGGGTGTCAAGGTGATCCAACCTTAAGTCACACACTTGCTCCAAAAACGGAAAAAAAAAAAAAAAAAAAACCATCAGGGCTTACGTTACACTCCCTCAAGGGGCTTCTCAAAGCCCAGCTACCCAGGCAACGAACTTTCTCAGTTGTTTACTAGAACCCTATTTCAATTCTAGAATATGCATTTTGGCCTGAGGTTCTGGTAATTTATTAAATTTCTAGTCATGTGTTCAGATACATTTTTAAAAATTCTAATGATGCCTTTTGAAACTCTTAGTTGTTCATGATCTGTGCGTTGCAGGCTCTCTGGAGAGTTATCTATATTAGCCACTCATCCTTTCTTCTGAATTGTAAAAACTGATTATAGATGGCTGAGCACAGGGGGGCTGTGGGACAAGACACACGTGAGGGGAACACCTTGTCCTTCTAGGGGTCTTCACAGCCATTTCAGCTCTGACCCCGAGGCATGACAAGGCCTCTGTCTCAGGGATGTGGGGCGTGAAATGTTTTTGTCCCAGTTGAGACAGGAAGCCCCTGTCCTGGTGAGAGTTCCTAGGGGAATTTAGGGCCTGTGCCTTCCTTATAAGGTGGTCTCTGTGGTGTCATTCTCTTTTTTTTTTTTTCTTTAAGATTTTATTTATTTATTTGAGAGAGAAAGAATGAGACAGAGAGAGCAGGAGAGGGAGGAGGGTCTGGAGGAGGAGAGGGAGAAGCAGACTCCCCACGGAGCAGGGAGCCCGATGCGGGACTCGATTCCGGGACTCCAGGATCATGACCTGAGCCGAAGGCAGTCGCCCAACCGACTGAGCCACCCAGGCGCCCTGTGGTGTCATTCTCTTTCAGCTTTCTTGAACCATCAGTAAAATGTCATGCACAGGTGTAGTCTTTTTTTTACTGTGCTCTGGCCACCTAGGAAAGCTTCCATACCCATGGAGATGGAGCAGGATACAGCCGAGTTTCCTTCCTTCCGGCCAGACGGGAGGTAGCAGCAAAAGTCTCGGGTCAGATGCCTCCGTGCTGCAAACCCACAAGGGGCAGCCTCATAACTTGGAGGCCTGAGCACAAGAGCACGTCCCTATTTA